GGCTTCTCCCTGGCTGCTACTGTGCTGCCATAGAAATCTCTCACTCAAGAGCAGTACTGAGTGTCAAGGACTCATGCAACAAGTGGAGGAGGGAGCAGAAGAGCAGTCTACAAGGGCCAGCAGTACTAAAGGATCCCCTTTATTGAAGATTCCCAGAATTTCCCTGTCCTGTTACCCACACAGTGCCTAATTACCTAGAAATTCTACGGGGCCAGTCTCAACACAGTTCCTGCCCCCTCTGCTTTGCCCCAACCCCCGTGACTTCTGAATGGAAAGGAACAAAATTTAGCCTTTAAAATTCACATGAGATGAGGGAACAAAGAATGTGTAGCACTGGTTGGAGGAGCAGAGAAAAAGTGAGTGGAGAAGTAGAAACAGGAGAAAGACTTAATAGAAATGAAAGAGGAAAAACAAAAGGGGGAAATGGGAGTGTAAAGAGAATGAAAGTACAAGAAAAGAGGTCAGGGTTTAGAAAGAGAAAAAACAAAAAAGGGGAAATATTGAAAGAAAGGAAGAAAGAAGAAAGTAAGTCTAAAAGACAAAAAAGAAGGATGGCAGTTTGGGAAGATGGGGTGGAATTGTTCTAAGTTTTAATATAGATCACAAATATAAGTTACAAAATGTTGCTTTAATGATGATTTAATTTTCATCAAAAATTGCTAACAAAAGAAATTAGAAAATATAAATAAGTAACTGCTCATAGTGTTATATTCATATTGAAATCTAGTCTACAACAAAACTGAATTACTGATGTTTCATTCACTACCTTTGCCAATTTTTACAGTTTTTTTAAAGGGCCACAGAAACAGCAGGAAATGACTGACCTGACTACAGAGGATAAATAAAACATGATGTCAAATATACAAGGTAAAATGGGGGAAAAGGAGGATTTGTTTCATAAACATTTCATTTACATTAATTTTAGTTGTTTATAAAAAAAATTGGTTAAAACAAACAATTGATGATAGAAGAGCAATTTTTTAAGTGAGTGTCCCTTTAAAATTAAGCATGGATAAACTCAGGCTTTTTTTAAAAATCAAATCTTAACATAGAATTTTCTGACCTAAATAAAAAGTTTATTTTGCTATTTAAAAAAAATAATTTCTTCATTTCAACACCCTAGTTCTCCTGGGACTTGATCCAGACAAAACGGAAAGCCTGCCACTGATCCCAAAGAGACCAGAAACTGAGAGCAAGGAGGTGTATAAGTATGTCAGTAGTCCTATTAAAGTCAATGAGACTACTCACATGCTCAAAATTAGACAGGTGCATGAGAGACTAGCAAAACTGGGGCCTAAATGTAGACTACTGTAGCTGAATTTAAAAAGCCACTAAATGATCTTCATAGCAAAGCACAGATAAACTCTATGAATAAAAAGTAATACAACACCAACATTGCTAACGTTTTTTCTTTTGTTCTGTTTTGAATCCCCATCTGTTCTGCTGATGTGCCAACATAAAATCTGTTTTTCACAATGGCAATTTGTTGGTGAGGATGTCTGTTCTCCAGAGTTCACAAACGGCTGACAAAGAAAAAGTCATCGACAGCATGGCCAGCAAATATCTTGAACATCAAAATTGAAGCCAAGAAAGATACTGCTCCCTGCTGGCTGATTTAGATAAAAATTTTATCTGCATTCCACCGTGAACCTTTTTTATCTGTGTTTCTCTAATAGCATTAGAAGATACCTTTCCACCATAAACCCATAATATTGAACAACCCATTTCTACTTTTAAATATTAAAGTATCCAAATACTGACAGAAATTTTAAAGCTGAGTAAGTAAAATAACCAATGATTATATCCAGCAACAAAGAAAAATCAACAGACGAAAATGACAAAAGGTCTCTGAGATTATTCTTGTTCTTCGCATTTAAATATATGAAGAGAAAATGGAGACTAACATCAGGATATTCCTTAATCTGGAGACATTTATAAATTGTGTTAATAATTAGGGATAATTAGTTTAAAATAATAATATTTCTGAAACTTAAGGAAAAGCTGGAAATAAAGTTTATTTGTATTTCAATCAGGACTAAAAATAGAAAAAAAGAAATATAGCCACTACAAAAAAGGCTGTACTCTATGTATTTTAATGTGACTGGTGAGAACTAGAGAGTACTTGAAATATTGCAAGTCACAGCACTACTGAGATTTTTAAATTGATTTTCAAATCAACATAGTTTTATATAAAATTAACATAAATTTTGGATGAGTATTTAAACTTTTGGTTGCTTATCCAAACTAGACTACCAAAGTTTTTGACATTTTGGATATCTAGTTTAGAAATCACCTCTGGAAGTCTAGGCTGGTATTTCATTTTTGACAGTTTATTTAAATGTAAGGTAGTGAGATTATTTGTTTATTTATTTTTAATCTTTTGCGATGTTAACCCTGAGAACTTTTATTTACTCTTGGAGATAGGCCCTAACCAAAATCTTGGGTCCCAATATATCCAAACATTGAGTAAATTTGCATTTGGCCCTTATTTCTATATGGTCTGTACCATAACGGTCTGTACCAAACTCACCCTTTGGTGTAAACCCAAACTTTAAGAAAGTTCCAGTTTGAATCCAAACTCTGATTATTATATTAACATTATAGTCACATGGACATTATAGTCACATTCACTGCCTTTTGCTTGCTTAAATACATACCTGTACTGGGAAAAAGTATATGAAATGTACATTTTTCACAAAGCAGTCACTCTATACCCGGCCTTGCAGTCCCTGTACTCAAAGAAAACATTCACAGCACTTTCAAAAGACAAGCCTGGGAATTTAAATTTGTAATTTTGCTAGACACTAAAAATGATGGACTGAATACAGACATTGGATTTATGATTTACAATCTATAACCCATTAACAAAGCCTCTGCATTCTGCCCCAGCTGCCTTTCTCCCAGTTGTAGGGAATAATAGGGCAGTTCAACATGAATACTCCCTTGAAATATGCATTAACTATTTATGCTGAATAATCTATGCCACTTTGTATTTAGAAGTGACACTCTGTTTATGTTTCCTAGACCTCAAGAAGGGCTCTGTGGAAACTCGAAAGCTTGTCTCTTTCATCAACAAAAGTTGGAATAACAAAAGATATTCCCTCACCTTCTTTCTCTCTCTAATATCCTGAAACAGATGCAACTACAACACTGCATGAAACTTATCAATTTAAACTGGCGTTACAACAAGGGTAGGCCTGAAATTGAGATTCTGCTCCTCTCTCTGATTTATGGGGAGATGGGGGTTTGCCTTTTTGCTTTGTAAGATGATAGTACATATTTCTCTTTCAATGTGTTATAGGCACAGAGGCTGCCAGATACATAGCAGTGCAGCGGGGCTTTCAATCTGCTAAGTAGAACTACAATGAGAAGTGTTGTGGTGTCAAATATTTGTCTTGACAAGTTTGCTGCTGACGTAACCTTAAATCCTGATGCGTTAGCATTACCAACTAAGAAAACACCAGTATTTTCTCCAAATCTGTTTTGTAGCCCTCTATGTTTGACAGTTCCATGAATGGAAAGAGATATTCAAATTGGTCTCATTCTGTTGGCTGTCAGATTTAATAGCTTTCTGTAAAATTCCATTATCAATGAAGATGTTTCAGTTTATCATGTCCCTTCCCTCTCACTCTGGCAACAATTCAGGTGACAAAGGAAACAAAGAGTTCTAGGATCCTGTCTTTTCCCAGCTACAGACAGAGCTTTTTCAGCTTGATGTAGAACAATAGCAGGAAATGGTAGAATGATGGCAATTTTTTTTCCTAGAAGGGGCTTTGGAACTTAGAGGGGGCACGCCTATCAGCACTCTACTTACACAACCATGAATTGGAGGAAATTGGCCACATCAAATGGGTTTAAACTGACTGACATGATAGAGAACTAGATTGTCACTTCCTGAAAGGGATGGATACATACACTCCCCGGATGCACCTTCTTTTGACATTTCCCGTGCCTTTCCTTATTATTCATCCACTCCTAGGAGTCAATGGAAGAGGTTGCAACCTGCACTTTTAAAAGGCTACATAAAGAAGTTACAGTCTGCACAGCAGTGGATATAGCTTTGTCATTGAAATTTCATAGGCAAGGGACGACAGGGCTGGGAAAGGCAAAGGATAGTACAAGTCTGCGGAACTCAGTAACAGAACCTTCAGCTTACAAAACAGACTCTGTAGGGGTTAATGCAACTTGTTGGCTTGATGAACTAGACATGGTTATTTACATTTCACCCTGTGCCTCGCTAACAGTTATCTGTTCCATTATAAACCATTACTTTATATTCAGGATTAATAATTATCAAGAGCTTAAGAAGATGTAATTGGAATTCTAGTAACAGGGATAATTTCAGTTCAGTAATAATGATCAAGGCACAGGGCATTTCCTGTGGATTAATGACAGGCTGGTAGAAGCTGATACCCTGGGTTCAGTTTCAGGCTATGAATCTCAGCCGGTCATTAATCCCCAGGAAACACCCTGCTCCTCAATCATTACTGCTATTAGATGAAAGAATGTGTGCATCTCTCTCTCCCTCCCCCTTCCTCTATCTGTAGCTCTAATGGGGGCATACTGTTTCAGCTGATATGTTGGTATGTGCAGAGCATTGCTGGAGAATTAGTGTCATGTACATAGCCAGCTTAAATCATTTCTCAACATGCCATTCATCTGATGATAGATTACATATGATGTTACCACTTGCCATATTATATCACATACATTTGGGTGCCTTATGTTTCTAGGTTGGAAAATTCAAGGCCAGAATCAGACCTGGTGTAAGCAAATCCATCTCTGTTGACCTTAGTAGCACCGAGTCAATAATACCCATTCTGAATTTGGCCAGAAACTCTTCCAAGAATTAATTATAAACAAAACACACTGATCAAGGATAAAATACTTAATTCTTAATCTTGGTATTTTTCTCCTCAGGCCTAGTGGACTCAAGATTACTGCCCTGAATATACACTAGGCATCTGAAGAGAGTTAATGTCTGAATAGAAACCATTTGGGTGGGTTAATAACCAGCCTTGATGGATTCCAAAGAGAATCTCTTCCAGTGTCATTTAAATACAAAGCTTGCTTGTCAGTCCTAATCATGTATGAAATGAGCAGATGGAAGTGAATGAAAAATGACAAAAAAGATAATTCTTCAATGGTATATCATAAAGAAGACAGGAATATGAGTCCAAAGGAGGCATTGGGTGCTTGTCTCAGTGGAGCTAATAGCAGCTATTGGGTTGGCAGCTAAGGCATTTCCCTAATTGTCTATCTTGACCCAACAAAAGCAAGAGCTTTTTACTTGAAGTGGTTGTCAGAGATTACAGGGAGTCATGAGCAATGGAAATCCCACTCTTTATAAGTTTTAATGTGCATCTGGAAATTGACACTGGAACTTTTCTTCTCTAGATGATCAGCTGAAATCCTGCCCAGACAGCATCACCAAAAATTACTATTTGACTGAAGTTATGACTTGTGAGACATAAAAGTTTCAGAGGGTTAGCTGAGTAAGTATGTAACAGGAAAAACTTAAAAAACAACAAATAGTCTAGTAGCACCTTAGAGACGAACAACACATATAGATGGTAGCATGAGCTTTCGTGGGCACAAACCACTTCTTCAGATGACTTTGGTTTAGCGCCCAATGAATACACATTCAAATCACAAAGCAGCTATCATAGTAGGTGCCTGTTTATATCAACACTTTGCCCTACTGCAGTGCCTTTCATCAAAGGATTGCAATGAAACTTACAAACCTGAATTCTCATTCCCTGATGGTGGAGCATTTCTATACCCATTTTACAAGCAGGTGGCTCAGAAGTTAAGTCTTACTCTAGACTATCCCACAAGAGAGTGGCAGAGCAGGAAATAGAAAAGTTCAAAAGTTCTGACTGCTACTCCCCTATTTTGAACACAAAACTGGCTTGTGTACAGGTCATTCTTTCTCAGTAAATGCTCTGTAAGTAGCAACTGAAATAGCTAAGTGGCATTTACAATTTATTTTGTTTATTTTTCATTCATAATAGCAACAATGACCCCAGCACAGGATCTTCCTGGAGTTTAATGACTAGTTAGGATTACTGGCTAAAGATGCTCCTCCCAGACACTCAATAATTCCAAGAACTTCTACTTCCTTTAGCATCAGTGAATTGTTACTGTGTTTCCTCCTACCTCCTTTAGTTGTATGGAAAGATACTGGTAAATAACAAAATGGTATCTAATTATATGCAAAAGCATCCTGAACTAGGACTCCTAACTCTACACTTCCTGGGTGAGTGCTATTCTTTATTATGTATCAGAGGGGTAGCCGTGTTAGTCTGAATCTGCAAAAGCGACGAGGAGTCCTGTGGCACCTTATAGACTAACTGAAGTGTAGGAGCATAAGCTTTCGTGGGCAAAGACCCACTTCATCAGATGCATGTAGTGGAAATTTCCAGAGGCAGGAATAAATATGCAGGCCAGGATCAGGCTGGAGATGACCAGGTGGATCCAATCAAGGAGGATGAGGCCCACTTCTAGCAGCTGATCTGGAGGTGTGAATTCCAAGAGAACAGAAGCTGCTTTTGTAGTTAAAGACTGTGAATGGCTTGCTAACTACAAAAGCAGCTTCTGTTCTCTTGGAATTCACACCTCCAGATCAGCTGCTAGAAGTGGGCCTCATCCTCCTTGATTGGATCCACCTGGTCATCTCCAGCCTGATCCTGGCCTGCATATTTATTCCTGCCTCTGGAAATTTCCACTACATGCATCTGACGAAGTGGGTCTTTGCCCACGAAAGCTTATGCTCCTACACTTCAGTTAGTCTATAAGGTGCCACAGGACTCCTCATCGCTTTTGCAGATTCTTTATTATATATTCTTTCATGAAGCATGTTATCCAGTATGTTACAAGAACAGTGTTAGTACACCTGTGAAATGTGGAAATGGCCAGAAATAACACCCCAAGATGTCACCTGGGTTGTTTGTTTTCCCCTGAGGAATTGCCTTTTCCTTTAGCCTAAGGTTCATAGTTAAGCAAACTCAAAGCTCAAACCAGGTGTGGCCTTGAATTCTGAAAAACAGTTGCAAGTGGGGAGAGGTCGGGGGGAGTTGTCTCTGCTTTCACACTGTGAGTAGTGAATCGAAATTTTGTCCTTTTCCTCACAGGAGGAGAGCTCTGGGATTAATACAATGCAGATTTTTCCTTTTTTCCCCTCCCTTGCTGAGCAAAGTTTCCATTTCCATCTAATGAATAATGCAAAGACAAGCAAAGGAAAAGAATTAGTCCATCATGAACAAGAAATAAAGAAAAGGTATACTCCATGGTTCTGAGTAGCTTTACCTTTATTTATTGTATATATGTTAGTTGCACTTTACTCTTAATATTCACAAAGAGAATTTAAATGCAGTCCCTTTCCCTGATTGTTATTAATTTAATCTTTCTTGAAATTAAGTAACCGAATGGGAGTTGAGAGAGTAATAAATTAACAAAACCCAAAACAGGCTAGACAGTTCAGAGAAATCTCAGTGAGCAGGAGGAGTGAAAATGGAAGAAAACTAAACTGAAAAACAAGAGATGAGTCAGAAATAAAACTTTGTATATGAAAATCTTGATATTTGGGAATGTTTGGATCAAAACTACACTTCGCACATGTCCCTCTTCTATATAGGAGACTGAGAATTAAAGAGACAATTTTCTTGTGTGGACTAATTCACTCACCATGATAACCCCACTCCCTCCACCTCCAGGGATGTGAGGGGCTCTTTTGGTGCCAGAAACAGCAGCTGCCAAACTGATTGGAAGAATGAACTGCTGTTGTACTCTGTAGAGAAAGCAACTTCTGTGCCCTGTTGTAGGCTGTTCTTGTAATTAAATATCAAGTGATGCAAGACCAGGTAAGGGGTTTTCAGGATAATGAGTTATGTTGGAAGCTAGATATCCGGCACTATGTAGCATAATAGGTAGGTGCTCATACAGCAAGATGGCTGTTTGCATCACAGGCCTCGTTACTGTTTAGAAATTCCTGAAATAGAGTGCTATTTGACTATTGCTTTGTATAAATGTAAGTAACAGCATATAATCCAGCTTCTGCAGGGTCAATGAACTCCTAGCAAGAAGCAGGACGCAGCCAGAGCTCTCAGATACAGAAATCCATGCACATGGGTGTTAATGAACAGGATCAGCTCCTCAAACTATGCCAGCCATCAGGACAACAAATCCTCCTGGGACAACTGAAGATATCTGCCCACTTAGCAGTGCACAAAAAGTATTCTGAGTGCACCAAATCTGCAGAAAATGCTTCAATGAGGAGCTTAAAATATTTTTGGTTGGTTAAAAAGACAATAAAGATTTGAGTGTTTGTACAAAACACTTCTTGCATATTTCTTACATACAACCCCCATCAACCCAGACCACACAAGAACAACAAGAAAATGCTCCACAATTTCTTTGAAATATAGTGCCTTGCAAGCACAGACATAACAAAACACCTTTGCCACTCAGATAAATGAATCTCTGAAGTGAGATTTGAGTTTCATTTTGAAGGATAACGAAGCCAATCCACTTTATGAAAGCCTATAAATAGATACAGTAGATTTTAGTTATAAGCCTCGTATAAGTACTTTATTTATAAGTACCGAGCCAGATTTCCTAAGAGACCTTCTGCCAGAAGCAGAAGAAATGGGAATTGAGACCACAAGACACTAGCAATGGCTGATGGCCAACACCACAAATGTTGGGCAAGTTCAGATCCAGATGTGGAACTTAATATCTGAAATTTGGGAAAATTTTGATTTGAATCTTTACTTGACATCTTATGTTCATTTCTACTATGACCAATCACCTCTAGACTTAAGAATACTAGAGGATATCAGGGAACTACTCAGGGTTTTTAAACACACACTTATATAAAGGAAACTGACTATGGTCATCTCAAGGGTCTCATTTATTTTTACTAAGGACTACATTCAGCTATTCTTTTTCCCATGAGCTCCCATTGATTTCTGCAGTTGTAAATGAAGATGGAAAACAGCTGAGTCAATTCCACAACTGGCTCCTTACTTGACTGTGCTTATTTTTAATCTTTATTAAAAATAAAGCATCTTCTGCCAAACAAAAGCATTCAGCAGGGATGTGAGAGAAACAGTCCCAAATGGCGAACCGGCGCCAATGGGTGTCGCAAAGCTCCGTGGCCACGGAGCGGTAAATAAACACAACAAAGAGGCCAGATAGCAGGTCTTTCAACATGGTTTTGCGGACCATTTTGAGAACCCTGCTCTAGAATGAGTCTCATATTTAATGAGAATTAACCATGCATCA